AACACCAGTCTCCGCCCTGCCAAAGCATAGCCTCAACTCGGCCTAAGCGATGCCCATGCCGAGGCCCAGCGCCTGCCCAAGCCTCTGCTTGAGCCTCAGCCCACATATGCTTAAGCCTCGGCATAATCAAAGCCTCAGCCTAAGCGCCAGCCTAATCCAGAATCCAAAGGAATCCTAAGACCCCCTGAGGATTCTGGACTCCCCAGGGATCCTGAGACACCCTCAAGACTTCTGAGGACTCCTGAGAGAGACCCCGAGGGTTCCTGAGAAACTCTCAGGGCGCATGTCTGTCCCGCATGCCCAGGCGGCGCCCCCAGCTGCGCCACGCCGCGCACAATTCGGCGGCAAGGATGCGCAAGGGCGGCCTGCCTGGCCCGCATCCTTAGCGGCGCCCCCAAGGTGCGCGACGCGCTACAGACTGCGGCGGCAAGGTTGCGCAAGGGCGCCCCGCCTGGCCCGCGTGCTCAGGCGGCGCCCCCAGCTGCGCCACGCCGCGCACAATGCGGCGGCACGGATGCGCAAGGGCGCCCTGCCTGGTCCGCATCCCTAGGCGGCGCCCCCAGGTGCGCCATGCTGTGCGCAGCGCGGCGGAAAGGTTGAGCAAGTCCTTAGCCTGGACAAAGCCTCAGCCTCAGGCAGCAGCCTCAGCCTAGTCGAGCCTACGCATCGCCTTAAGCCTAGCGTCAGCCCCAGCCAAAGCCTAAGCCTCAGCCTCGGCCCAGCCTGAGCCCCAGCCTCAGCCTAGCCTAAGCCTCGGCCTCGGCCTCGGCCCCAGCCTAGCCCAGGCTGCAGCCTAAGCTTCAGCCTGAGCCTCAGCCTCATTCTTCGGTAAGCCGACATTACGAATGAGCACAGCCTGAGCCCCAGCCAATGCTTGATCCACAATCTGACGAATGAGCACAGCCTGAGCCTCAGCCAATGCTTGATCCACAACCTGGCCTACTGTAGCCCAGGCATCAGCCTCTGCTTACGCCCAAGCCTCAGGCTATGCCCCATCCCAGCCTGAGACCAAGTCTATATCTAACACGAGCCAAAGCCTCAGCCTCAGCATGAGCTTCAGCCTACGCTTAGCGCAAAAGGAAATCTACCACAAGCCTCAGCATTCGTCGAAGCCGCAGCCTCGGTCAGCCCTGTCTGAGCCTCAGCCTAGCCGAAGCTCAGCCTAAGCAGTAGCTTCAGCTTCAGCCCCAGCCCGAGCCTCAGCCCAGCCCAAGCGTCACCCAACGACTGGCTTGAGCCCATCCCAAGTATAGGCCGCAGCCTCAGCCAAGCATCAACGTCAGCCCAGACCAGCCGAAGCCCCTCCCTGGGCATCATCTTAAGCCCAGACTCCTAAGCACAGCCTGAGCCACAGCCCAAGCCTCCGCCTCAGACTGACCCAAGCTGCAGCCAAAGCGTTGTCTGGCCCCAGCCCAAGCCGCAGCCTCAGCCTAGTCTGAGCCCCAGCACCAGCCTGGCATGAGCCCCATGCATAAGCCCAAGCCCCAGCCCAGCCTGAACATCAGCCTCATCCCAGCCAAAGCTTAGCCCCAGCCCAGCCAAGCCTCCGCCTCAAACTGGCCCAAGCCGCAGCCGAAGCGTTGCCTGGCCTCAGCCCGAGCCTCAGCCTCAGCCTAGCCCGACCCCCAGCCGAAGCCCTAGCCCCAGCACAGCTTAAATAGCAGCATCAGCCCAGCCAAAGCATTGCCGCAGCCGAGCCTGATCGATGACGACGACGACGACGAAGAAGACGCACGACGACGACGACGACGACGACGGCGACGAGGACGACGACGGCGACGGCGACGACGACGACGGCGACAGCGACGACGACGACGACGACGGACGACGACGACGACGACGGCGACGGCGACGACATTGACGACGACGACGATGGCGGCGACGACGACAACGAGGAACGACGACGACGACGACGACGACGGCGACGGACGACGACGACGACGACGACGACGGCGACGGCGACGACGACGACGGCGACGACGACGACGACGGCGACGACGACGTCGGCGGCCACAACGACGACGACGGCGACGGCAACGACGACGACGACGACGACGACGACGACGACGACGACGACGACGACGGCCACGACGATGACGGCGACGACGACGACGACGACGACGGCGACGACGACGACGACGACTGCGACGAGGACGACGACGACGACGACGACGACGACGACGACGGCGGCTGCGACGACGACGACGACGACGACGACGACGGCGGCTGCGACGACAACGACGACGACGACGGCGACGGACGACGACGACGACGACGACGATGGCGAAGACGGCGACGACGACGACGGCGACGGCGACGACGACGACGACAGCGGCGGCGACGACGACGACGGGAGGACTCGGGAGGACTCTACTTCCTCCACCTCGTCATACCTCGTCCCACCATGTCCCATCCACTCCTCATCACTCCTCCCGTCCTCCTCCTTTTCCTCCTCCTCCTCCTTTTCCCTTTTGTGGTCGCTGGCCTCCAATATGCTTTC